ATACCATAACACACACGACGATAGCCATTCAAGCTATAAATTAACAGCAAAGAGATTCGAATAGTAGGTTTTGTAGAGCTTGAAATTCTCTATCTTTTGGTATGTAAAGGAATTTTTTATTTGAAGAGGAAGTACGAAGAAAATGCAGTAATATTTAGTCCAGTTTATTATGGCACAGTTCAATCAGCACAGTACAAACAGTTCAATATATGAGTTTCTGTAGATATGTGTCACATCTGTATTCTACATAACAATGTTTTCGAAAAAAGAAAGAACACCCGTTGTATATAACATAGACGCACATATACATATGACATATACGTAACATTGTGACTAGCGAAAGTTGGAGGTGTTTATATTAGAGAACAGAGAGCCGAATTTGCTGTTAATTTATAGCTTGAATGGCTATCGTCGTGTGTGTTATGGTATACTCCTGTTGATTTTTGAAATTTTTGTTAACCAAAAACAGAGGCGAGAAGACTTGTATTAAAATGCTAAAGCACTTTCGACTTTCTTCGCCAATAGCAAATAAGTACTTCCTCTGAATTTACGACCTGGCTCTCTATTCACACAGGCTTTCCTTTCCAGATGGAGATTATGACAAATGCATTGTCTGTTCGATGAAAGCATTAAAATTAATTTGATTGCCCTACTCAGGACAATGAAAACGCGATAAAAAATGGCTCGTTTATGACTCATCAATTAGTCTATGCTTTGTTCTCCCAACCTTTACTGACACAAAATTCTGTATGTTTTTGTTTAATTGATGTTGAAGATTCATTAAGGCCAGATTTACGTCGTCAATGTTTGTGAAATTTAAACATACACGAGAGAGCGATGCTTTAAGATCTTCCAGACCTTCCCAATAAGCCTTATGGGCTTACCAATTAACCAAAGTAGATTAGCATACAGTCAAAGTCGCAATTAGTTTAGAAAGGAAAGAACAACTGATCAAAAAGCATGAAATGGATACCAAGTAGATAATCTGACTGCTCAACTGTATATATGGCTGATGTGCCTGATGGATCCAATTGTGCATTTTTGATTTGTAGCCTTGTTAGCACCATGATTATCAAGGTCACAACAAATAGTACCCAATAGTTTCTTACTAACTGCCACGCTACGATCCTGTTTTAATTTTATTGATCGATGCTATTATTCATATAAAACTCGGTTAATGCACCATTGTTAGCTTGTACTTACGTTAGGATCTGGGTCGATTTAGGTAGCGGTAGTTTCTTGATCAAGTTTTAGTTTATTGTTAAATAAAAGAAAAAAACACGTTTATAAATCTCGATACGAGGCAGTGAATGTTAGAATAGAATCAAGCTTGACTAAAATGTACTTTTTCACTATATTTATATACATTTAACAAAGTGGAAGAATAAGCCAATGACGTTTAACTATGTTGGAAGATGTACAAGTACAGGATAGTAGTAGGATCACTCGCTTTTTTTACACTATACAGATCAGACGTGTTCTCTTCGTTCCTCTTCTTCTGTATCGTACGTATACGTACACGTGTACGTTCAACGTGATTAATTTTTTTTCAACGTGATTTAATCTAATTTTTCTGGGTATTTTAATATAAACTCAGTTATTGAAAAATAAATTATTTAATATGTCTTACGAACATTATAATAATATGACTACGGCACAAAAAGATAGATTATGTGAAGGAAGTGAAACTCAACAAAAACTTCAAGAATTTTATGCAAGAGAAAATGGAAGAAATGCAACATTAAAGAGACACAGTACAAACCATAGCCATTTAAACTTAGATATCGATGAAGATTTAAACGATTACGATAATGATGAAGTTAATAACGATTTTCAACAGGTTAATTATGGTAGACAAAGAAAACAATTTGTAAATAGAAATGAAAGAGATGAAAGAATTATAGTGAGAACAATTACAAATTCAAATATGAATATGAATAGTAACAATAATCGCTCCCAACAACAAAATCTCCATCGTCAACAACAAAAATCAAATAATAACAATAATGCTAATAATAATAATAATAATCAAACGATAACAATCTCATCACAAGCTTTAAAATATGCAGCAGAAAATCATTTACAGCCTATTAGAATTGAATGTAACCCAAAATTAACGGATCAGAAGCAAGCAGCTAAGTTTATTCAACAATTTTTTCGACAAATATCTACAGAATTTCAGTAACAAAACCCAACATTTCTAAAGCCATTGGGATTCGATGCGTGGTGGATAGATAAAGATGGAGATTTAAATGGAGTAACGAAACAAATTGATCTGTATGTATATCTGTGTGATTTAAAGCGTTATCCAAATGAAGTTGATAAAATAAAACTCACTCCTCACCCATCGAGACATCTGCCACCGCAAAGATCAACGTTATTAAAGTGGGTAAAAAATTCCGTCTCATTGAATGAAGTAAAAGAAGAATTTGAAAGTAAATTTAAGTCCATATACTCAGTTGAGGATATCATTGGTACAAAAAACAATCGAAATCGTCATATCCGTATTGATTTCTCCGATGAAAGAGAATACATCGATGTTCTAAATAGTGGAAAAATATCATTACTTGGTCAATTATACGATATTGACGAGTACTTACCAGCTCCGAAATTATTGTTCGTTCAAAATGTAATAAGCCAGGCCACATTAAAAAAGTATGTGTCAATTCTCCTTTTGAAATCTGTAGACGATGTGGTGGGGACCGGAATGATGAAAAAGACCATAAAGCTTGCGATGTTAAATGTCACCATTGCGATGGAAACCATACATCTACTGATTATAGTTGAAACGGAGAAAACACAAACGTTTTGGAAAATAAATCAGCAAAATTCAACAGCAGTTAAAAAAGCAGTGGCAACACCTTCAACGAAATTTCAATTATAACGACCAACTACAAACGAAATACAACAATGATTGGTTACAACAATGATTGGATTACAACAATGAATGGTGTAATAAATACGACGCTGTTTTCCACTTGCTCAATCGCTATGGAGACATTAAGAACAGTTTTAGATAAAATCAAGACAGAAACTAATAAGAATGAATATGACGCCTTCATCAATCAAATTCAACTACAAATCTTATTATTAAAAGAACAAAAATCGGTCTATTTCCCTCATCAAACAAAAGTAGAACAATTATTAACCAAACAAAAAGAGGCATTAGATGTGGCTTTGAACACAATAATTCACCAACCAAATGTTTAGTAAAGACTTTAAGTATTCAACGCCAACTATAAATATGAATGTGTTGGAATCATTTGATGGCACGATCGGTGAGAGAGACTCAATTCTTTCTATTCTTAACGAGTGGAACTCTCGGCTTTCTGTGAGCGATTTATGTACTAAATGGAGAAAAGAAAGGCCTGTAAATGTGAATGATAATCTTCTTTTTCTTCTTTACAATTGTGAAGTGTTAAGTACTCATACTTGTGACTTAGACATCCTTCTTTCTTCTCACACTCCACACATAGTTGTTCTAACGGGAGTCGGTAAGCTGATTCGTAAACTGCCTTTAGTTCCCTTTTACTATTGGGAAAGTGTAGAAGGAGATAACAGCTTTGGAGGAGTGGCAATCCTGTTATACCAAACTATAAGGAGCAAAGTAGTGGAGAAGGGTAAAAATTTTTTAATGATGGAAATTGAATCCATAAATGAAAAAATTCTAGTTGGAGGAGTCTATGTTCCACCTAAACATAAACCACCTTTAGAAATTTTTGAAAAATATTTGGGTACAAATTTCATAATTTTTGGAGACCTCAGTGCGAAACATGTTCAATGGGCGTGCGTTAAAAATAATACTAGCGGTAATCAATTAAAAGAATGGATAGAAAATAGCGGATGTGAAATACTGCATCCATTAAAGCCAAGCTCGAAAAGATCAGAATCGGTAATAGATTTTGCGATTACACAAGATAAAACAGGTTGGAATACAGAAGTTTTAACGGAAGGGACGTCCGACCACTAGCCTGTTATTTTTTCTTCTCCATTTTCTATAAATGAAAATTCACATTTTTGTAAATCAAATTGGAAAATTTTCAATTTTTTCCTACAATGTGTTTTTGAATACTGGTATTCCGTGGTATATAACATCGATCATGATTCATTTTTCGTTTTATTTTCGGACTTTCTCTCTTCTCATTGGGACAGGTGTAGTGTCTACGAAAAAGTAAAAAAGTACAGGCCACCATGGCCAAATTATTTATTTTTGCTTGCTAAAACAGTAAATAAATGTAAGAGGAAATACCGCAAAACACGTTTTTTACGTCATTATGAGGAATAGTCATATTGGAATGATGTGTATAAGAAAGAAAAAATAAACTATCAAGATAAAAGAAGAGACGAAAAAATCAAGTTTATGAAAGAAAACAATAACATTTGGAAAGTGGTAAATCCCGTTTTTAAAAAATTTTCTCCATCTTTCCGTGGACTAAAAACAACAAATGGAATAGTAAAAGACAGTCAGAAAATTTGTGACAGTTTAGCAGACTTTTATGAAAAACATTTTTCTCTACCTGTCCACGATCAAAATAATACACATCATCTAGTTTGTTTAGAAGCTTATACCGAAATAGCGTATACACCAAATATTCCTCTACCAAAAATCTCTATAGAAGAGGTTACTAAAGAATGGTACAAATTTAAATCGAAAAGATCACTGGATAGTACTCGGACTTCAGCATTTCTGTTAAAAAATCTGCCGCCAGAATACTTACAGATAGTTACAGTTCTTTTTAATAAATGTGCGGAGAGAGGAGAATTTTTTGAGCGTGCTAGGCAGGCAAGGGGTATATGTCTGTCTAAAGAAGGAATTTATCCTTCAGAGGACAGATTGCGATCTATATCGTTGCTCCCGAACCTCGGTAAATGGTTTGAGAAAATCATAGCAAAGAGAACCGAGAAGTGGTGCGTTGATAATGGTATAAATCTTGACGAACAATCGGGTTTT